AACTTTTCAATGTGTTGGGTATGAGATTTTTTTTGGTAGTTAGATACTAAAGTCTTTTCCAAATCAAGATTGAATTTTCTTTGGGGAAAAAAGTGCTGTTGTTAAATGTCTCAGGATTTTATTTGTATTTATTTATTGAAAGCATTCAGGGAATTTGATGGAAGTCCATGTAGAAGAGTGGAATTTGATGAGTGGACTAGTGTATACATATTGTTTTAACAAATTCTAAATAGGAGGAGATGAAAGATTGTTTTTGTATCCGCCAAGCTTAAAGGTATCCTTCTTAGCCTGTTTTCCTGTTATTTTTGTTACAGGAATAGTAGGCAGCCTCAATTCGGAAAATAAAGTAGATCTTACCAATCCACAGTACACAGTGGTAGTAGAAATCATTAAAGCTGTCTGTTGCCTGAGTGTTGTGAAAGATTACACGTTGTTCAGAAAATACAATCTCCAGGAGGTGGTGAAGAGTGCCAAGGACTCGTCACAGCTTAATGCAAAGCAGGCAGCGCTAACAGGAAATGGGAAAGAAGCTAAGTTGGAATCTGGTGACAAATCAAATCAAAAGGACGCAGCAGAAGGAAAAAATAACCAGCAGGTGGTACCAGAGGATAGTGAGGAGCTGGGTCAGACAGAACCAGTATCTGAGACACATGTGGTGAGTGAGGGGGCCGCTAAACCTGAACTTGCAAGTCAAGTCACAGAAGGATCTGAGTCACATGGAAATGACCTTTCATAGGAAAAGAAATCATTTGGTGTTGGAGGTGGATTTCTCAACTGCGGTTCTGTGAGATGTTGCTGGGATTCTATATAAAATTGTTACTAAAAATATTGTTTCTGAGTTTGTGTGCTGTGTAATGCTGTACTCAAAATAATTGAGCAGCCCCGTTAATAGCTTTGTTAGAGATCTTTCAGCCCTATATGGCAGTGTGCATTTGGTTGAGCTAGAAGAGGCTATGGATAAATTGGTGAACACTACTGCACAGAGCGGAGGGTGGCGGGAGGATGATGTTGGCCTCTCCCTCTTGATTACCTTCCCCACTCCCCTGCTTCTGAAGTGCCAGCTGACTTATGGGAGTGAGCAAGCTCTGTGAATCGAAACTCAGAGGGAAATTTTCATTCTAAGGAAGGAATTTTTGCATTTTGCAGCTCAGCTGTCCCCTGCCACTTTGTTGTAAACATTGCAAAAACATGGGCCATATAGGTTAGAAGTGTATTGTTTTGTGAAGTTTTTGTACCTTTTGTGATTTTCTTGTTTAGTTTTTATGCCCCGCCCGCCTTTTTCTTTGGCTGCTCCGCGAGGCATGTGGGATCTTAGTTTGACAACCAGGGATCGAACCCGCGCTCCCTGCAGTGGAAGCTATGCCCATTTTTATGTTTTCGTAACATTTGTTACAACCAAATCTGATGGTGCATTGCTGCAATTTTTGGAGGCAAGGTGTGAGATAGAAGTGTTCATTCTAGGCATAAAATTACAGATATTTCTGATGAGGTTAATTATGAAGAATTAGTCTTCTGAGTTATTACAGTATACTAGTGCAGCAAGGCACGCAAGTTCTTTACAATGTAAGCTACTCTACAATGTAAATGGACTTATTCAAGCTGTTCCATTCCATATCCTTTGTGAAATGCAACTTACAAACGGAACATTTGCTTCAGCAGTTGTAGCTATAAATCATAGCTCCCTGACAAAGACAATTATTTTAATGGCTTTGGAATGTCAAGACAGTAAAGCTTTTGTTCAAAAAATCATGTTCAGTGAAAAGGTTTAGGAAGCAAATTATGTAGTAGCAGAACTTTTTCCAGGAAAGAAAAATTCACATAGTTGGTAAGAATCTAACAGTACCAACATTAAAATGCTAGGTCAAGAAGCAGTACAAGAAATTGAAAAGACTTTTCTCTCAATGTAGTAAATTGACTTATGTCACATGATACTAAAGAGGTTTTGTTTAAAAGCAGCAGCAGTTGCTGATGAATTAACAGATTTCATGAATATTTGTCATGCTATAGCAAGATTTGTAAATGATGAGGAAATTTGAGGAAACTTTCGCCTGCTAGGAGCCTCCCAAAACAATGGTCAGTATAAATTTAATAGGTCTTCATATCTGAAAAACAACAGTCTGCCATCTGTACTCCTGGTGCCCCATCAGTGGCTGGCTCCATGACAAGTTTTGCCTCATTTTAGTAAAAGAAAATCCTGACGTTGATGTTACAGCACACTGCTTTCTTCACAGAGAAGTGCTGATATTAAAAACTTGGAGATGAAATGAAGAAAGTTTTAAATAATGCTGCAAAAATGGTTAACTTAATTAAAGATCCATTTTATGCAAGAATGTTTAAAAAGAAAAAACAAACTAAAACCTGAACAAAGAGCACATAAATCTCCTACATACAGAAATCCAGTACTTACCAGAGGAAGAGTTCTCTACAGGATATTTGAGTTGAAAGGTGAATTACCAGTAAATTATAAGTACAGTAAAATACAAGGCCAGATTTTGCTAAATGCTTTGAAGACGAAGAATGGCTACAGAAACTAGTCTATTTAGAAGACATTTTTTTCATTGCAAGAACAAATGAACAGTTTTCTGCAAGGGACTGGAGAAAAATGTTTCTACTTAAAAGTGACAGGAGTCTTAGATTAAAAGAAACTGACTCTTTGGAATAATTATGTTGCATAAGGCACTCTTGAAATGTTTCTACAGCCACTTGGGTTTGAGAATGAAGAAAGCAACAAGTCCCAGGTCTTATTTAAACTCCTCTTGCAGAACTGCAAAACCAAATTAAATAACATTTCCCCTCCTTTTCCCAACACTGGTGTGTGACTGGGTGAGGAACCCTTTCCCAAAATCTCAGCCTGGGATTTCTTCACTGAGAGAAGAGGAAGAACTCAGAGTCCTCTTCTGACAGTTCTGGATTTCTGTGAAACAAGAGTATCTTTCAACTTAGTGCTCACACTCATTTACATTGAGGATCCCCTTAATTTGAAAGTTTTTTCAAGTGTTCCTCCAGGGTAAAACTGAAAAAAGATGGAAGAGACAGACACCAAAGAGGGCTGCAAAATTAAATGTCCGGATTGAGAATACTAAGGGGTCATGAAATTAGCTTTTGGAGTTGGATTTTATTAAGTTTTAACAAGTTTGGAAGTATTGTAAATGTTAAGTCTTCCTGCACCAATGGCTATGTTTGTTTATTGGCTAGTGAACATGGAAATATATTTTTATCCTCCTAGCTAGTGGTCCTGCTGGTAAAACGAAGGATTTGGGAGGAGCAAAGAGAATAGAAAGGGCCTTGCTGATGCAGATGAGGCTGGAACTTCCTTATATATCTTTAGATATTAGAATGTTAACTCTTAATAAGTTGAAGTTATCTTGAAAGGATGATAGGAGCATTGTAACTATCATTGGGGGAACACGGATGATAGGATTTTGGTGCCTTCATCAGACTTTTTCCAAGACAAAGATACTTTTATTTTGATAGTACAGGACTCTGGGAATAAAATTGGCTGTATGCTTATAGAACGTACAACCCTGTGGAACTGGGTTCCTTTTATTTTGTGAAAGCTGCTACTCTACAGAAAGATTTTGATTTAGTAGTTTGTTTTTAATCCTCTTTTGTATTTATTTTTATCAATATTTGGTAAGACCTTAGTGTGACAAAAGCTATTCTTCCCCAAATGTAAGGTAGTACGGTGTTCTGTTGGAATCTGAATTCAGTCATTGAAAGATTTGTTTTCAGGTTTACCAACTGTTTATTTTCACTGACATCTGAGCATGTTATTCTATAAATGACAAGATTCCAGGGTGGGAATTGAGTGCTTTTTGTCCTTTTAATTTTTATTTAAAAAAATTATGTCAGGGCTTCCCTGGTGGCGCAGTGGTTGACAGTCCGCCTGCCGATGCAGGGGACACGGGTTCGTGCCCCGGTCCGGGAAGATCCCACATGCCGCGGAGCGGCTGGGCCCGTGAGCCATGGCCGCTGAGCCTGCGCATCCGGAGCCTGTGCTCCGCAACGGGAGAGGCCACAACAGAGAGAGGTCCACGTACCGCAAAAAAAAAAAAAAAAATTATGTCAGTTAAACTCCAGTGTTGTGGTTTAGTAAAACTTGTTTTGCTCTGTGGAGGAAAGAGTGTTAAATTTGATATTTTAAAACATGTTTCCCTTTAGTTAAACATGGTTTCTAAATGTTATTTTTACTTGTATTTTGCTTTTGGTATGGCCAGATATTCAGCTTGTCTTTCAGTTTCTGATGTTTTCAGAAAAATCAAAATAAATTTGTTCCCTAAAGACTGGTGTTCTCTATCTCTCCTTTTTCTTTCTGCCTCTTAGTAAATCTCTTGCTTTATTGTCATAAAGTAGATGTATCATAAAAGATGTTTTTATGTCAAATTATGTATCAAAAGTCATGTACATTGTCCAAAAAGTAAAGATACAAAAATTTATTAATTGCTCTTGAATAACTAAAAACTCTTAAGCGTTTTGTATCTTATTCAAGCATTAGATATTTTACAGTGAGTTTGCTTCAAAATGTATAGTACAGTACTTAATTAAGTTCATTTAATTGGCTTTTGAATTCTTTACATTCCTCACTTTAACATTAACATTTTAATTCACCTTAAAGAATTAGTAGCATATAAAGATTTTAAGCAGAAGAAATTCTGTCTTGAGCATTCCTGTTAGAATAGTTCTAATCTTTATTTTGAATTAATCAGGTAGTAGATAAATTCATTGTCTATTGTGCTTTTCTAATTAATCATTTGAGCCCTGCTGTTTTAAACACTACAAGTTGTTGTTTGGTCAGCGTAACAATTTTCTTCCCAAATATTTTTAGATTTTTACTTATTTATTTTTTGGCAAAGTACAAAACAAAAATTCAGTTGAATTTTTCAACCAGGAAAAATCTTAAGCATTTTAAGAGAGTAGTCACTGAATTATCAGGAAACAAGGACTAAAAGAAAGCAGCCCTGTTAACTACTTAATACCACAGTGTTCTTGTTAGGCTATGTTCAGCCCCATTCATGGTCTCTTAAAACGTTGCGTTTGATTTTCCCAGTGATCATCTTTGGGAGTTCTTTAACAAATTCCACCTAATCAACGGAAAAACATATTATGAGACACTTGATTCCATTTTTACTCTCCCAACTGTCAGAATAATAGGGGAGAGCTTTCATGAAACTCTGGCATTGAGCTTCAGGGTCTGGGTGTTGTCTTAGCTGAAGCTAATTGGATGCCTTGGTCACCAGAAGCTGTTCCATTTATATATAAAGATGACAGTGGAGCTCCATCATACTGGTTTTTAGTGCAAATTCACCTGTATGCTTTGACAGAAGAACAATCCCTTTATTCTGTTGCTTTCCTCCAGTTCGAACCAGACCTGGGTCTCTACTGCCCCAGTGAAATGGAGGCCACAACTAAATGCAAAGAGAAACATCAAGTTAATTCTTGGCTTTTGACCTTTTAAGAGCTGGGTCCTGGAGGTTACCAAGGAGATTTTTAGAGATAATTTTGAGTTTATACAATTTTCCCCTTATGCCCTGACTTGACAGTAAACTACTTTTGTTCTCCCTCAGGATATGACTACTGTATTTTAAAATGTCCTCAAACATTTCTGAAAAGCAACTAGTCACTAATTTAGTGAATTGAATGGAGAAAATGTAACTAGTTCTTAGGTTGAAATTAACTACATTTTAGCTGAAATGATGCCAGTGGAAATGGAATTCTCATGTAGAGGATCAGTCAGTATCAACTAATAGGATTCTAGGACTAGAAGGAAATTGCAGTGCCATCTGTGTGTCTTTATACAGAATTATGCTTGAATCCTTCCTTTGAAGAAGAAGGTTTCAGGAAAGATTCCACAGTTTCTTTGGATAACATCTTCATCCTGAGCCTTAAATTTGGTCACTTGATACTTAAAGGCACATGCTTTGAATTTATGAGTGTGTAATGGCCCAAGAGTACTATGATAGATAAGGTAGGTGCTGTCTTTAAAAACAATTTGCTGCCTTAAAAAAACAATTTTTTTTCCTCATATGGAATGGGACAGATTAGTCTGATAAGGATCCTTAGTATTTACTTAGTATTGCAGAGTTGACCAAAGATTCTAGTTCTTCAAACATTTGTAGTGTCCTAATATAAAATACTTTAAAGCAAAATTCTTAGGGCTAAAGTTGAAACAGTTGTCTTCTACTTATATAATGAGTTGCTATAAAGTCAAAAGCTAATAAAATCTATATACTTACTAGTTTAGATCCTTATTTGGTAACACACACTTAACTTTTGCGCACAATACTTGCCTTTCTTGGATATTTGTAAGGTGCAGTTGATTTTTTTACATGATCCTGAAGTTCAAGAGTTAATTTCTCTGGGTTGGATGATTTAAAGGGTGCAGATAAGACAACAAAAGCTTTCACTACCTGCAGGAAAAAAAATCAGTTTATATTGATAGATTTGCTTTTCAGACACATCAAGAATTTGGACCAATGCTGAACACTAACTGGTTCTTTATTGAACCAGTTAGATATTACCCACCTGGACATCATAGGGTAGTACCCTTTCCCCACTGAGCCTGGTTTAATTGCTTGCCCTTTCTGATTGGCACAAATTATTCCTTATTAAGAGGACATGTTTTATATAACTATGTAAAATTTCATTTTCTGTAGCTATATCGTGACAATGAAATCCAAGACCCAGCTTTGACTGATTTTCCCAGTATTCAGTCTCATCTTCTGAAATATATTATCTGAGACTAGTGGTTCTCAAAGTCGAGTGTGCATCAGAGTCACCTGGAGCATTGTTAAAACACAGATTGCTGGGCCCCATCCCAGTTTCTCATTTGTAGGTCAGGGAAGGGGCAGGGGTATTAGAATTTGTATTTCTGCCAAATTCCTGCGTGCTACTGATACTGCTGGTTTGAGGACCACACTTTGAAAATCACTCCTTTTGACTAAGAGTGCCATTAAGTGCACCTTGTAACTCCCCACTGGGGCTCTCTGGGGTCCTTCCCAGTGCGCTGGAAAGATGAGCTACTCAATTCTGAACCTCTTCAACCCCTAACACCTCTGAGACTTATCCTGTGTGAGGAGGAGGCAGGAACACCGAGTAATAATAATTCCCCTTCAGTCAAACGTAATTGGGCAATTTAGAAGTTTTGGGAAACACCATCACAATTTAGAGCATGGTGGGAGCACTTCAGGGGCCCAGCTGGCAGTCCTGGGGTTGAAGGGGTAAACTTAAGCTTTGTCCATTAAACATACCACCTGTCTGTCCGTAGCCCTCGTACAGCATTAGCCCAGTTTGCACTTTCCACTGTTCCAGCACCTCTGGATTGAGTGGCTCCCCTCCTATTAGGCAATGCAGCAGCTTCTCGAATTTACATCTGAAGAGAGAGTTGCATGGGGTCTTTGGGGAGAGAAGTATGAGAGGCTTTCATTGCCAGATAACTAGGACATTAGCAACAAGCAAAGAGCTAGGAGAGGCAAGTCTTAGGAAAGTTCATTCAGTGAATATTTGTTGAGCACCTACTCTCTAGCCAGACATTGTTCTAGGCACGTGGGGCATGTTATGATTAAAACAAAGATTCCTGGTGGAGGTTACACTTTAGCAGGTTATTCAAGAGAGGAAAAGGTTGGAGAAAATGCTAATAAGGATATTAAGCACTTATGAGCCAAGAAATATGGCAGCTAATATTAATTGAACTTTTTTTTTTTTTTTGCTGTACGCGGGTCTGTCACTGTTGTGGCCTCTCCCGTTGCGGAGCACAGGCTCCGGAAGTGCAGGCTCAGCGGCCATGGCTCATGGGCCCAGCCGCTCCGCGGCATGTGGGATCCTCCCGGACCGGGGCTCGAACCCGTGTCCCCTGCATCGGCAGGCGGACTCTCAACCGCTGCGCCACCAGCGAAGCCCTAACTGAACATTTTTTATGTTACAAGGGCTTTTGGAGCACTCTCATAATCTTCACAAACCCTATTTTATAAATGAAGACACTGAGGCTGAAAAAAGTTAAAGAACTCTTCCAAGGCCTCCCAAATAATAAAGAACAGAGTTGAATAATCTGTACTCTGCACTTATCATTGTCAAGTATCTCACTCACCACGCATGCTGCCGACATTGAATTCTTACCAGAACCTCGTGAGGTAGCTCTTAACTATCTCTTATGGTTGGAGGTAAGGCAGGCTTAGCAAGGTCCACTATTAGAAAGTAGCAGAGCCCTGCCTGTTTGACTTTGGAGGTTGAGCTTTTAACCAGTGTCTTACTACTCAGCTGCCCAACAGGACTAAGGTGAGAAAGCTTGGAACAGCCCGACCGATACAGTGAGCCCCGAAATGGGTAGTAGGGTTTGGTAGGACATGAATTGTGTCTATTCAAAATAGAATGGCCCTTGAATTAATCTTGAAATGTGAGCAAGATGTTCACATTCTGAGGGCCACAAGGAGTTGATCAGGAAAAGAGAAGATTCATATCTACTTTATTATGTTTCTCATAGAATTCTCCCTCCTAGATGTCTACACCTTGGGGAAACAAAGGATGTCCTTTTTCTGTTTGTTTTGTTTTGGCTTTGAAGCATCCACGTTTAGGGGAGAAAGGGGTGACTGTGATGACTTAAATGGTTTCTCTCTTCCTTTCTCTTCTTATGTATTGAATTCATATTAGTTAAATAAATATACTTCATAATTTCACCTAATGTTCAGGTGATTTGGCTAAGTTGAATATAAGCTTCAAGTCATAAGACTTTATTAACTTCAAGACAGTATAAATGTAGTTGTGGGTTCTTTTAGGGTGGGGGTGATGGGAGTGCTGGGATTGTAGAGCTCTGATTGTCTCTGGAAAAATGTCCAGTTGCCCTTAGAGGCTTTCCCAGTGATTCTTAAACTGGGGATGCGGGGGGTGGGTTGCCCCCCAGGAGACTCTAGGCAATGTCTGGAGACATTTTTGGTCATCATCACTGGTGGAGAGGGAGGTGCTACTGGTATATAGTAGGTAGAGGCCAGGTAGAATGCTGCTCAACATGCTACAAAACACAGGACAGCACTCCATGACACAGAATTATTTGGTTCAAAATGTCAGTAGTGGCAAGACTGAGAAACTCTGGGCTATCCTGTGCTGAAAAGGGGAGATCCGTGATGCTGGATTATAACTTTTGTTTGTGGTTCAAGTGGAGATTTCTGCCCAAATACCTCTTAAGGTCTTTTTGCACAAGCATCCAGTACACAGTGGGAGCACTGCACAGGGTCGTGATGGGATAAGTGGTAAGCGGCTGGATGATGGAGAAAGACACAGATGTCAGCACTGGTTAATTAAAGGTCATGGCTGGAGGTGATGTCTACAACCTCTTATTCTCGTCCATTAACATATGCTCATCTCATGGTCATTCAGTAAGAAAGAAAATACAGTAATATGATAGTTTTAGGCCTTTCTGGTTGCGTAAATTTACTTGGCAAAAAGGAGAAGGAGCCAGACATGCTGCTGTGGGGATTGAATCAAGGTCAGTTCCTAAGTTCTTGCTTGATCAGTTGGTTAGATGGTATCATTTACTGAGCTAAGACATTAAGAGTTCTGTTTTGTAGATGTTTCACTGGAGATATATAAGTAGAGGTGCCAACTAGGCAATTGGATACACATGTTGGTAGTTCAGGGGAGAATTAAAAAAAACAGTTTTCCTGCCTACCTTCCACAGAGGGTGTGCCCAATTCTGAGGCTGCTCTGGGAGTGCTGGACCATCTTGGGAGAGCCTGTGGTCCCACTGGAGAAATAAATGGCCATTGGTTCTTGACCTCCTGTCTCCACACAGCTGTGCTCTGCAGAGGTGGTTCTGCAAAGTACGGGCTCCAAGATGGTGGCTGAACATGGCAGACCAGTCTAGCTCTGATATTTCTTCTATGGTATTTTTGGAGTTATGACACTCCAAAGTTGTTGGTTTGAAGTGGGGATTCCCTTTATCTTGAAAAATACTCCCCAAATGTGTAAATTTCAATGTGAAATTCATGTGAGCTCAAAGTCCTCTGTCTTCTGTGAATTTTGTGGCATCTTTAAGGTTTCTTGGGGACTCAGCCAAATGTTGCAGAGTTGTTTAGGATAGGGATCTTAGAAGTGGGGGAGCTTGCTACCCAGGGGATGTGCAAGACAACTGGCATGGGGAAGAAAATAGGAGAACTTCAAATTATATGTATTTTAGAATTCATTCTTTAAAATGTTTATTTTTGATATTTGTGTGATGCACAAAAGTACACGAATATAATTTATAAATAAATAAACATGTATTAGGGGAGTGTGGTAAAAACTATTTTACTGAGGGATGTGCATATTCAATCTGAATAATACTACCTTAGGGAATTACTACACTGCTGAATGACTTTATTAACTTGAGAATAATCATAATAGTAATCATAATTACTATAATTCTTACAGAGTGATTACTCTGTGCCAGGCATTATGCTAAAAACGTCACATTTGATTCTTCTACAACTCAGTTGTGTAGATACTATGCTATCCCTATTTTACGGATAAGATACAGAATTTTAGAGATGTTACTTGACTTATCCAAAGGTACTCAGTTTATGAAAGACACAAGCAGCATTCTCTGGCATGGCCTTGGGAGAGAATTTTGGGATTGACCAATGGGATTTGGTGTACATTAACTAGTAGGATAAAATTTTATTCCAACAAAGGAAACTGCCTTTATTCAATAGAGTTTATATGGCTTCCTTTTATAAGCTTCTCTGGAAGAATTTTTTTTTAAAAACGTAAGCTACTTAACAGCTCTTTGAAGGATAATACTATTAATTAACATTTTACTCCCTTTTTTTACAGTTTAGGAACGACTTTCTCACATATTAGCTTATTCTATCCTCAAAACAACATGAGATATGTGCAGTATAATTATCTCCATTCTACATATGAGGAAACTTGAGGTTAAGTGATCTGTTTGTTCATTCATTCCTCAGTAAGAATTTCTTAAGCACCAACTAAATGGTAGGAACTGGGGATAGAGTGATCAATCAAACAGACAAACAGTGCCTTTGCCTTCTGGGAGGTTACAATTTAGGGCAGGGGTTGGCAAATTTTTTTCTGTGAAGATCTAGACAGTAAATATCTTAGGCTTTGAGGGTCATAGTCTCTGCTGTAGCTACTCAACTCTGCTCTTGTAAGATGAGAGCAGCCATAGACAATGTGTACTCAAATGGGTGTGGCTGTGTTCCAATAAAACTTTATTTATAAAAGTGAGTACCAAACCAGAATTGGCTCATGGGCCGTAATTTGTCAACCCCTACTGTAGAGGAGAAAAATAGACAGTAAATAAAGGAACAAATGAATGGATATGATATTTGGATAGTGATGAGTACCATGAAGAAAACAACAGGATGTGATAGAGTGGCTTGGAACTCTACTCTAGACGGGTTGGTCATGGACACCCTCACTGAGGATAAAACATTAGAGCTGAAATCTGACAGGAAGGCGTCAACTATGAAAAGGACTAAGGAAGAGCATTCCAGATGGAAGAAACAGCAGGTGCAAAGGCCCTGAGATGGGCCATGTTCGAGGAATAAAATGGTGGCCAGAGGGAGTCAAGGCAGTGAGAGTGTTGGGAGTTAGGCAAGAGCCAAGCCAGGCAGGATACTCATCTCAGGCCCTGGTAGGAAGCAGAGAAATGGAAGCAGAGCTACATCCCTTCCTTCTGTCCTTAAACACTTAAAAAAAAAAAAAAAAAATTATTTATTTATTTATTTTTGGCTGTGTTGGGTCTTTGTTGCTGCGTGTGGGCTTTCTCTAGTTGCAGCGAGCAGGGGCTACCCTTCGTTGCAGTGCATGGGCTTCTCACTGCGGTGGCTTCTCTTGTTGCGGAGCACGGGCTCTAGGCACGGGGGCTTCAGTAGTTGCAGTGTGTCGCTCAGTAGTTGTGGCTCGTGGGCTCTAGAGCACAGGCTCAGGAGTTGTGGTGCACGGACTTAGTTGCTCCGCGGCATGTGGGATCTTCCCGGAACAGGGCTTGAACCCATGTCCCCTGCATTGGGAGGCGGATTCTTAACCACTGCACCACCAGGAAAGTCCCTTAAACACCTTTTATTAGGTGATTCTTTCCTGGGAAGAAGCCTAGATCAACCCATAGTATGCTGAGTCCTTGGAATCAAGGAGACTCTGAGATGTAGTTGTGACTGGTGTTATTCCTGGCACTGCAGATGAGGCAGGGAAAATACTCACTGAAATAACTCTTGGAAGCTGAGCCACTGATTCTGGCTGTGTGGAGACAACAGGAATTTGGTCTTCAAGCCGGGACACTCTGAAACAATGGACTCCACTGCTGGGATCACCTCCTCACTGGCTACAGTGCACTTGGCTTTGGATGCTTGCAGCCAATGGAGGATGTCTTTTGCTGTCAGCTGGCTTGTTCCTGGCATGAAGACAAGCCCCGGGAAAGAGGGAGGGCCCTGAGTAGACTGTGGACTGTGGAAACTTGGACTTCGTGCCTGGGTGGCAAGGAGCTACGAAATCTAGCCTTCAGCTACCCTTGCCTTGGTCCCCAGGGACATCCCACAGGACCCTGATCCCTGGGAGATCCTTAGAGCACTGGCTTCAGAGTCTGACAGTCCCTGGATCTGATCCTGTCCTTGCCACTTACTAGCTTTGTGACCTTGAGCGTCTTACTTGATCTCTCTGTGTGTTCCTTTCCTTCTCTGTAAAATGGGGAAAATAATAGTGTCTGGTATAAAGTAGGCATTATAATGGTGGCCTATTATTATGTATCATTTTTGTGGAACATTTGAGTCATTATTATGTAACACTTAAATAGCATTTTACAGGTTATATCACATTTTCATGAACATCATCTCATTCAATCCTCTGAACCAGTGGTCTCCAAAGTGAGTTTGGCAAGATAATCCACTGGGGATGAGAGAAGAAATAAGAATTAAAAAGAAATTTATTTGAGATATTAGAATTCTGTTTATGACTTTATCTCATTTTCGTATGTATTTTATAATATACATACTATATTAGCAGAGTAGAACAAGTTAAATAACCATATCCAGATGGGAGTATATGTGTCCCAAATATTTTTATTGATAGATTGTGTAACCATAAAAGCTTGGAGACCACTGTTCTAAGCAACCATGTAGGTCCATGTAGTTGTTGCCATTTGATGGAATATGAGATTGGGTCATAGCTGGCAAGTGGCAGAGTCAGCCCTCAAACCTGGGTCTCCCCAGTGGTCTGGCATCATCAAAGTTCGCCTACACTACTTTGGCAATGCTTAATTTATCCCACATTCTCACTTCATTCTAAACACTGGCCTGAGATGGGCCTGATTTTAAAGTACTAGTTCCTTATGAGAAGAACATATATGGCAGAATTAGATGAAAAACACAGGGAAGACGGTTTGCACTTTCTAAAGCAAATCAATGGAAAGAAAGTGGAATGTATGTAAAGCATTACAAACCGCCACTACCATTTATTGAGTGCTTGATAAGTGCCTGCTATCTCACTTAAAATTAATCCCAGTGTATAGACGACAACCAGCCCAAGGGTTGCAAAGTGAGTAAGTGGCAGAACCAAGATTCAAAGATACACTTCCCAGACTCTAAAGACCTGTGTCATATACCAGACTCCTTATTTCTTGGTGAGTTTCCTAAAGTCAGCTAAATAGGGATATGTGGAATTGAATTCCTAGGAAGGAAACTTTAATTACTGCATATATTTTATTTTATTTATTTATTTTTTTTGCGGTACATGGGCCTCTCACTGTTGTGGCCTCTCCCGTTGCGGAGCACAGGCTCCGGGCACACAGGCTAAGCGGCCATGGCTCATGGGCCCAGCCACTCCGCGGCATGTGGGATCTTCCCGGACCGGGGCACGAACCCGTGTCCCCTGCATCGGCAGGCAGACTCTCAACCAGTGCACCACCAGGGAAGCCCTACTGCATATATTTAAAAAACTCTTACATGTCATCCCCTCTTGAGAAAATGAATAAATATGTGATGATAAGGAAGTTAATCAAGAAAACATCTCTTATCATTCACTCAATATAAAACTATAAGATTATTTATTTTGCAAACTGCTTGTTCTTAGTGGCTCAGAAATTATTAGTACTCTTGGTGGATTTGTGATGTGAATGTATTCAGTGGATAGGTTGGGGGTCAAGAGGACTAGTAATATCCACAGAAATTCACTCTTGCCTTTAAGAACTTTTGACTGTTAAAAAACAAAAAACAGCAGGGCAGGAACCTAAATTCTGAGACCAAAGGTAAAAGTCAGATTTGGTGGTTCTCAGTGACAATGGGGGAATTTCCAAGAGGGGTGAAATGGGAAGGTGCAGGGTGGTCAGAGGTGGTTTCTCTTGTTGGCTTCTGTGTCTCACTGATTTTTCATCTTCCACATCCTGCAGCGCTTCTTTATCCTGCTCTTCACCATCACCCTTCATGTCTGAAGTCCATAGTGTCAGATTATCACATAACGATTGCATGATACGTGTAGAGTCCTTGTAGCTTTCTTCAATCAGTGTATCCAGTTCTGCAGCTGAATCATCAAAAGCTGCTTTTGCCAACCTGCAGGCATGGTCAGGGGAATTAAGAATTTCATAGTAGAATACAGAAAAATTGAGAGCAAGACCTAAGTGAATGGGATGTGTTGGAAGTTCTGCCATTGCAATATCACTAGCAGCTTTGTAAGCCACTAGGCTGCTCTCTGCAGCCTCCTTCCTGTCGTCTCCTGTGGCAAATTCAGCCAGATCCCTGCCGTAGTCCTCTTTGATTTTATAAGCAGAAAGCCTTGCCCAGAATGTCCAGAAAACAGATTAACTTTAGCTCAGTCTCAACCATTTGCCAATATTCTCCCATCATTTGAGTTTGTTTTCTCCTCCCTTTTTTTTTTCTTTCTGTTCAATGCTGCTGATTATTCCCCAGGAAGCTCTCCTAGGTCCAATCACATTTTTATATGCAACAGATAGGAGGTTTCTTTCTTCAGTTGTCAACTCCACATCCATCCCTGCTGCTTTCTTCATTGATTCCACCATTTTGTCATATCGCCCAGCCTGCTCGGCTAGCTTCCCATGGTGCACCGGATCCTCCCAATCATCCACAGTGGCGGCGGCTCCCGCAGGGTCTGCGGGCCTTGGATGGAAGGGGATAGCTTCTCCGACACTCTCCCACAATTTCTTTTATTTTGTTTGATTGTTTCCTTGGCTTTTCCTTGTTTTTTTCACGGCCCTCTTCACTAGAAAGGAGCTCTTTGGGTAGGGACATTTTGTCAATTACCATTTACTTCCCAGAACCAAAATAAGGTCTGGAACATATTTGGTCAGTGAGCGAATGCATGAATGAGTGAACATGGGGACGTGTATTCATTTTGTTACTCTCAGTGAAACATTTGTACCAGTGATTCCTGAACAATTGTGGGTCACATTTTCCTTGAGAGTAGTGTGGACATAAACACACGTGACCGTGCTGCAGACAGCATCAAATGCTCTATTTTCCTTATGAAAAATTGCACCTCAGCCCATTAGCCTTAAATTGTCCAGGCTTCTTAGGCCAGAACATATGCATGCCTTTAAATGCTTTTGGGAAAAGGTGCCTGTGAAGTCGACTCAGCCCACGGAATACTTTTAACCCTGCAAAACAAAGGAAGCCTTTCCACTGCTCCTTGAGGGAGCCTGCAGACTGGTTGAGACCCACAACCAAAATTATTTTAGAATAAGGTCCATACTGCTCGCTCTGACACCAGCAACATGCACCAGGGTATTGGTTTGCTATCCTCATGCCCACTGCCAATCTGGGGATGGTAGGTGGTCAGTTTGAAACACCACAGCCTTCTCTTACGTCAAAGCAGCAAATTCTTGCTTCACCAAGTCTTCCTCTGGTTGTGAAGTGATGGAAGTTATTATTTGAAGGTAATAAAATTGGTTACTTGTGGGACTGATGGAAGTTACTTCATCCATCTGCCATCTCTAAAGCACTTTTCATGGAAAACATCAGCCAAGGATACACGCAGTAAGTTAACAACAGGTATGTGGCTTCCTCTAGGTTTGCATTCTGACCCTGTCATGTGTATGTCACCAAATGTCAACTTTTAAAGTAAGCTCTCACAATCAAGATGGTGATGCTAGAGAAATTGTCTGGTATAAGCTGAATTTCACATATTTAAAAATGACCAGAAATGTTTTTTTAAAAATGAAGAAGATGAAAGCGAAATGGAAAACTAGTGTAAAGAATGTGAAAATTTGGTTTCACCGAAATATTTTCATGGTTGAAGCCAATCTGCCGTTTAGCCTGTGTAAGTAGTAGTCTGTGTTCATGCGGCCAGTGCTTACTGCAGTACAAATTATGCAAATATATGCCTAAATTCTACGCTTCATTCAACACTCAAAAAACCCAAAGATTGGGCTTCCCTCGTGGCGCAGTGGTTGAGAGTCAGCCTGCTGATGCAGGGGACGTGGGTTCGTGCCCCGGTCCAGGAGGATCTCACATGCTGCAGAGCGGCTGGGCCCGTGAGCCATGGCCGCTGAGCCTGCGCGTCCGGAGCCTGTACTTTGCGACGGGAGAGGCCACAGCGGTGAGAGGCCCGCGTACCGCAAAACAAAACAAAATAAAACCCAAAGGTTTCTTTGTTTTCCAGCCCCTGTGGGTAAGACACGGCCTGGTAGAGGAAAGTCTTGGTTGGAGCGGTGCGCCAGCTGAGTGACCACCTCGTTGAGAATTTCCCAGGATGTTCCCAGAACGGCCAGGAGGGGGCGCGCGGTCATGGCTAACGGGCACGGGGCGGTTTCCCTCCATGCAGTGCGCAGCGAAAGCCGGCAGGGGGCGGGCGCACGCGTCTTCTCAGGCCAAAGGCGCCTCAGGGCAGGGCGGTCCCGGTTCCCGCCCCACGGCCTCTGTCGCTGCTTCACGCAGTGAGAACCGCAGCTCCTTTTCCAAAGGTTCCGTGTCTGATGGAGCGACTGCGGAGGCTCTGGACCAACCGCCGTGCGTAGAAAGCTTCCTCAGCTGTCTGAGCGGGGAGGTTTGTGGGGCTTCCCGGGGACCCTTGCGTTTTCCGGGCTGTTCCCGGTGTTTTATTCTTTACTTTCTTTAAGAATGTTTGAACAAGGCTTATTTTTTTACTTTTTTTTTTTTTTTTTTTAGCGGCACGCAGGCCTCTCACTGCTGTGGCCTCTCCCGTTGCGGAGCACAGGCTCCAGACGGGCAGGCTCAGCGGCCATGGCTCACGGGCCCAGCCGCTCCGCGGCATGTGGGATCTTCCCGGACCGGGGCACGAACCCGTGTCCTCTATATCGGCAGGCGGACTCTCAACCACTGCGCCACTAGGGAAGCCCTTAACAAGGCTTATTGACTGAAGTATCCGTTGGTTGAGGGCTTGACGACTCTAAATCGGAGCTGCAGTGGCTTGTTTCCTTGTTTCTGTACAAATTCGAGGATGTTTCTG